TCGGCTTCTCTTCGACTGCTGGGATAAAGCAATGATGAAGAGAGGGAAGACGTGCAGTCCCAGACAGGATGGATCGCTTCTGAGATTGAGAAGGGCCTACTCGGATATGGAGCACTTCTGCAGATATTGTTCTGAGATGGAAAAGACCTGCAGGAGCGGAGAGATATCTCTGATAAGATAGAGAGCGATAGGAATAAAAATATTTAAAAGGATTATGATGTCCTCTAGATCCACAGCCTTGATTAATGAGAATTTATTTATGCGTATGGCAAGGGCAGACAAAGTCTAGGTTCTCCGACGGCTGCAGTGCGCACTTAGCCTTGCCTTTTCGCGAAAGGGTTCAAATCAGGTCAGACCAATTACCAGCTCTGCACGCTCCCAACTACCCCTACAGTGCATATTAAACCCAGAATGTTTGATAACGTGCCTCATAAGCCATTTTTTCTTCCTCCGTCTGGATTTAAAGGGACTTTTTCCGGTTCCCTGACAGTGTTTACTTACACATGTCGTTTTGAAAAATATATACTTAATGCTTCTCCTGCTTGGTGTCTATGAATTATGAATGAATGTCAAAGACAAGTGTATTATTACACAGTGGGCCTAAAATATTGAAAAGACAGTGAAGGAATAGGCTGCTGATCATTACTGCAGCCATTTTATGATGTTCTTGTGTTTATCAATATTTAATATTGTGTTGCTTTGAAGTTCTGACTCATAAGTGCTGTGCTCATGTTTGAGATCAATGAATCAGTCTGGATGGTAGATGATGTTATCTAGCATTTTTCACTGTGCGAGTGTAGGCGTGTTTAGGGAATGTCACATCGTGGGCACAATAGAAGTTCGATTTTACGTCTGTATAGATGCACTATATACAGTGCTGAGCAAAAGTTATTCAGGTTTTTAGGAGATGTTTCTCAGGAGATTAGATAAAAAGATCTAACATTAGCATAAGTAAAAAGAAAATGAGAGCAGAGTAAGTGGGAAAAACAGGAGTTTCTAAAACTGGAGCTCATAAAATGATAAAAAGCTGCAGAGAAAATGTGACTCCTAACAACCACCTGGAACACCTGCCCCCATCAGATAAACAGCACTTAAAGCTTTCATCTTTGAGAGAGAGGAGAAAGTCAAGCTGCTTCAGATCTGAAAACATCCACAGGTGTTTCTGTCCATCCTTCCACTGTGAGAAGACAACTCAGCGCTGTGGGTCTGAAAGGATGTGTAGCTGTTCAAACCTCACTGAGAAAAGGAGACAGACACATCACACAAAGAAGCTGAACAATGGACTGACCACCCCAGAGTCCAGACCTCAACATCATTGAATGTGTTTGATTACTTCAGAAAATAATCAACCAACTTGTAAGACTGAACTTTGGAGGTGTGTCTGCAGATTTCTTAGAGAAACTGAAAGTGAGTCTCCTGAAAAGAATGGAAGCTGTAATAGAGGTAAAGTGTGAACAAAAATACTGAAAAAATTATTTTGAATTTGAATTTTATTTTAAATATGTTTCTGCAGTCGCAAAACAAAGTGTCCCTGAAAATGTCACAAATGAGAAGTCTTTGTGGGTAAGGCTGTCACTATTAATTACATTTGTAGTCAAGTACTGTCCACCAGATGATTTCTGTAATGAATTCAAGTAATCCAAATAGAGGGGTGTAATACCATGACCAACTCTGATACCTATCCAATATTTCTTCTTTAAAAACTAGCAATGTTTAAAAAGAGCTATTTTTAATTAAGGTACTACACTTAAGATGATAATCTAAAAGTAGACTATCATATTCAAACTACTCAATCACTCTATTAACTAGAGATGCACTGATACCACTTTTCCTTTCCGATACCTGATCCTTTAGTATCAGCTGATACCGAGTACCGATACTAACTCTATCTAACCTAACTCACGTATAAATCCTAATATTTATACAGTTACACTTTTAAAATATTTTCTTTTGGTAAAATCTATGTTCTGCATCATAAATAAAACACACTTAGTTTGGCTAAATGGCATTTACTTGTTGGGTTATATTTATTAGATGCTTAGAAAACTTATTTTAGTTTGTTTACTGTATATATTCAGTATTTACTATTATATAATTAGAAATACATACAACATGATACAGCTGACCGACGGAGGCGCGGCACAGGCAGGGCTAGTGAACGCACAGGCCCGGCTGGTGGGCTGCTATGCTAAATGCTAAATTGAGACTAAAGGCTAACATTACGCCGAGAGTCCAGCGGTTCCTTCCGCTGTCTCAGTAACATTAACTCAGACTGTAAGTGACCACACAGCGACAGACGAGTGACTACTAAAAGAAGCAGCTCAGCCATTCAGGTAAGCGGCGCCATTAGCGTGTTTTTCTCACCAAATGCTGTCGCGACAGATTCTGCCATGAGCATTTTACTGCTGCATGTCAGTCCACACCGTCAACATGTTAAGTTCTGTCTACATCTCAGAAATTGCTTTGTGGTATCAGTCATATGTATCGGTATCCCTATCACTGATACACTGGCGTTTAAGTGCAAGTACTGGCACCGGCGCAACACTACTATTAACCCCACAGGAAAAACACAGCTAACATCACATCACAGTGTGAAATTGTCATAGATTTGTTACAAGATTGGATCACATTCATTCTTTTTTCCTCAGATATCGCATCCAGCATTTTCAGCTGGTATTGGCCTGATACTGATACCTGGTACCGGACCAGTGCTGTTTCTATATCTGAGTTATTAAAAATAGGCCAAACAAGAAAACTGACTTAACAACAGCTCTGTATAGACATCAAAAACACATTATCTTTGGAAAAATATGAACAAAGTCTTGCAAATGCATTAAAAATATGTGGCAGTAAATAAATGTAAATAAGTATCATCAGGCTCTGTTTCTTACTCTACGAGTCTTTATTATGCAAATTGCTGGTTCATTGAGAAGACAAATTTTAATCACAGATTAATGCATTAATCACAACAGCCTTAATTGCAGCTATAAATATCTAGCTTAAAGGAAAATTCCACCAGCTTTTCAAAATTCTTGCATAATTCAATGATAAAGATGTAGACGAAGTCATTTAGAGTGGTTTGGTGTGAAATGCTCTGTTCTAGAGAAACTAAGTAAGAATTGTTCACAGTATTGGTAATAAAAACCAGACGTCCACCTCTAAAAGCTCCCTCACAGAAGGTTATTACATGAAATGGTTATGAATACACTGCCTGATGCCTGAGACATTGTTTTCTGATTGGTATAGAAGGTTTTGGTTTAAAATATACTTTTCTAAATCCATTTATGGCAAAAACTCAGACGACGTGTAGATTCACTGGATAGTAAATAAAATGGCCATATTTGTGTTGTAGACCTCACAAGCTCTGGTTCCTATCACCACCACTGTAAAGAAATCTGACTCTCTACAATGAACATGCCACAGCAAACCACTCTGAATGACTCTTTTTACATCACAAATTCTGGATTATGCAGGCGGTTTTAAAGAGGAGAAATTTCCCTTTAAATAACATTAACACTGAGTGTGTTTACATGCACTTAATAATCTGATAACTGCAGAAAATCTGATTTTGTCAGTAATCTGATCAACGCGTTTACGTGCTCTTGAGTAATCAGACAGTAATCAGATTTCTGCTTTGCAACCAGCCGGTAAACTCACAGAAGACGATGTGACGTAAACGTAACGTAGAACTCAAACTTCATGCCGCGACTTTTTTCTTTAAACATCGCGCCACTTTACCCGAAAATATGAACGTACATCATCTAGAAGGTGAAGAATACTTAAATCCTTCATTTCGTCAAGCATGTATTTGGTATCACGGTCACTCCATAAGTGTTTTGCTGCATCTCGCGGCAACACTGCTTGCTTATTTCCGGTACAGCAGTCTGTTTTCGCACATGCACAGACTGAGAAATCAGAAAGAAATCAGAGTAAGAGTTTACATACACTGAGAAATCTGATTACTGAGCTAAAATCCAGCTCTCTTTATCAGATAACTGCAGAAATCAGATTATGATCGGATTATTGAGTGCATGTAAACACACTCATTTTCAGCTTCCTGTTTTGCATTTTAAAGTACTAACTGCATTTTAAAGTCCAAACAATCAGTATGTCAGGAGCATGGTCACTGTTTAGGTCAGATTCTGTAGAAAACAGATAAATATATAAATAAACCCAAAAATTAGTAAACACCAAAATATGTTCCATTTTTAATGCTTGAGCTAAATAGAGTCCCATTTTCCAGCATTTTTTACCCTTTTTGGCATTTGTATGAGGTAAATAACATGAGTCAGGTAAGTGCACTCACAGTATTTGAATGCTGCTGCCAAATGTGGCATAATTATACATGACTCATTGTGCTAAATGGACAGTTGCCTCTTACTTTTGATTTATGTTAAATTATTAAGCCACTGATTTTTCATTTTACAAATTTAAAATGCCACTTTGACTCATTGAAGAGCAAGGAATATTAATTATGTTGTGACTTTGGTTTTCTCTCATAGGAAGTGCTGAAAATGTGTGTGTGTTCATTTAGCCCACACAGTGCGAGTTTCAAATACATAAAAAAGCATCAAAAATCAGCAAAATAAGCAATTTGGCTGTAAAGAAATGAGCTATAAAATTTCATGATTGGTGCATCCCTATTGTTTTGTGTATTTACTGTATGCCTAGATGTTTGCTTTATGTGGTGATGCAGTACCGAGATAATCCACTAGGTGGATCTTTTAGATTTTCCAAGCAATCCATTGTGCAGTGATGATGACAGTCCATTGCACAATATGTTGAGGGTTAAATCATTTATTGATGAAGCAGTTTAGCCTTAAACACTGGCTCTTGTCTGTGTGCCTTTGGCAGTGTTTACTGCTATTGTGCATTATCTTGCCAGTACAGTTTAGTTGATGATTGATTGTATTCTGATAATGATATTTCATACCTCAAATGTATCAGATTGCACAGTGTATTCTTGCTAAGGCCCTTTCTCCTCTCTGATCTGTGTACAGGTGGATTAGACCTGATTCTGATGCCAGGACTTGGCTTTGATAAGAGTGGAAACCGTTTAGGAAGAGGTAAAGGCTTCTACGACACGTACCTGGAGCGCTGCATGAGGCATCCCAAAGGAAAACCCTACACCATCGCACTGGCCTTCAAAGAGCAGCTGTGTAAAGAGGTCCCTGTGGATGACAGTGACATGCTCATCGATGAAGTGCTGTATGAAGAGTGAGATTCATCTTAAGGGCCACTGTGAGCTCCATCTACCTTCTAGCTCAACTATATAGGTGTACAGTCACAGACTGTAGCCCATCTGTTGCACTTTATCAGCCCTCCCTCTATTCCATTTCATCATTGGTCAGTGTCTGACCACAGAAACGCTATTGTTCGGATATTATTTGAGTGCTGGTGCATTTTCAGCACAGAAGCTGACCACCGATGAAGGACTAGAGGATGAAGAACACAAACTGTGCATCAGCAGATAGACTGCAGTCTCTAACTGTACACCAGAAAGGTGGAAGGTCAGAGTTTCTAATAAAGTGGCCAATGGATGTATACAGTTGTGTGTAAAAGTTTTGGCACCCCTGGTCAAATGACACATTTTTGATGATTTTCTGCAGAGAACACACCTACACATTTTCATACATATGTACTCTTTATTTGCTGAATTTAACAAGTTGAGAAAAAATATAACCTTAAAATGTGGCCTGTGCAAAATTTATGGCCCATTTTTATATTTTATGTTTTGTTTTTTCCAATGTGTTGAACCAAATAAGTAGAAATTGCACCTTGTTCTCTGGATATGTTAAAATATTTTCGCATATAAAATCAACAAAACATGTAAAAGTGTTCAAACTTTTGCACACGACTGTAAGTAAATCCAGTTTAGCCTGAGAAGCCAAATGAAAGTGGGCTTACAACTTTCAGAAGTTCACACTGTTTGAAATGTGTCACTCACTTAAAAGCATGCTGAAATGGTACTTATTGACCCAAAAGCAATTACGTGGTAATGGAAAATGCTGTGATTGACTTTTTAAACTGGACACAGTAACAAACAGTGATAAATCAGAAGGACAATGTGACGCTGTGTCTTAAGTGATGTTCTCATTGACTTTGCTTTACACTGAACTCTCTAATGATTACCTGCCCTTGTTTACCAAAGCCAAAGTATACCAAAATACCAAAGTATTTTCAGGGTATACACCCAGACCTCTTACAGTCAAGCATTGCATATTCATCCCAAATGTATAAATGACTGAATTTTAACACTGTGTATTAGCTTATATTATAATTAACAGTGCTCATCTTCTCAACTCTTTCTTCTTCAAGGGAGACGTGCATGCTGTATTGACTTCACACTGTACCTTTTTTGTTAATTTAAACTGTACAACCCATTAATCTGCCTCTACAGATATTTTTTTAAAACTACTTGCTAATGACTGTGAATTATAGTGTTGACTGTTTGCTCCTTTGCTCCTGTTTATGAGGCAAGATTTTGTTTGAAGGGACTAATTTTGTTATAATTAAAATAAAAGTAACACTAAAGACAAAAACATTAATAGCACATACACAGAGATGTGAACAAAATCATTCAGAGTGGTTTGGTGTGAAATGCGCCTTACTGGAGTCCGAATGGTTCACCATTATAGTACTACGAACCAGACATTTACTAGGAACAAGCATTTAATGGCTCTAAAAGCTACATCCTGCTAAGTTATTACTCAAAATGGTTATGAATGCATTGCTTGATACCTGAAACACTGTTTTGTGACAGTTTTGTTATGAGGATTTGGTATTTTTGTGTACTCCATGATCACTTCCGTGTTTCCTCTCACAACCGCATTCTCAACTGAGATCAATGCGCGCGAGCTAACGTGCTTTTGTTGTTATTAGCCTGTAGCTAAAGCCGTTAAACACGACTAACGCCAGCAGCAGCTTTTGTTGACAGTTTATTTTTACGGTTTGCTTACTTATTCTGGAAGATGGCAGAGGATGCGGAGGACTTCGAGGGGGTACGTTTCCAAAATGTCGGAGATCCATGTCAGTTTTAACCATAATACACAGATGAGTTTCACCGGTTTCAAATAGACAGAGCCGAGAGAGAGAGAGAGAGACACTGAACCCGCTGGCGTCGACGCAGAGCAAACCAGGGCGAATGGAAAGTACTGGTCTCGACAACACACTGCTTGCTACTCCGTTTACCAGTTTATGAGGCAGGATAGCGAGGTAGATAGTTCATTTTTGGCGAGGCCCACTTTAGACAGTCTGTTGTAAGCTAACGGCTAACAGTGATATGTGCGGTGGCTGACAACAACTAATTTATTTGACCCACGAACGTTTCTTACTTTGATTCCAGTTTCCCCTGGAGTGAACCTGCGGGTGTGTAGTCAGACCATAGATATACATATCTAGATGCCGCGTTGCCTGTTGTTCTCTATCTGAGGCGATACGTCTTCCCGTCCGCCATGTCGAGCCGTCAAGATCCGCTTGTGAACAAATTCATTTATATTTAGAGATGATGAGTCTCAGGATTAAATCAGCCTCAATTTCCTTACTACTCAACCGGTTTTCACCAAATTTGTTTTGTTATAATCCTCAGACATTGATTAATCTAGGCTGCACGGGCTGCTCTCGGTGGCTTTTATTTCTTTAATAACTGATCGTGCTGATAATCCGTCCGGACCAGCAGGAAAGTATTCAGTCTGCACCTGGCGTCCGTTTAGCGCGAGCTCCGGTAGGAACACAATCAGCAAATCCATCAGTGTGTGAATCACGTCAAATCTTTATACACAGAAGGACGAAGCTAAGGTTGGCTTCCTATTCGTCAGCTTCTTGTTCGAGTTTTCCCGTTCCACCTTAAATGGTGCAGCAGAAAATTCAAAGAAGATGCTGGCTGATGAAGTTAAGATCGCCTGAATAGACTGTTAAATGAAAAACAATCACATCAACAGGTTCTCTGTGCATCACTAACCACACAGTCATATCTACACATAAACATCACACAAACAATACAAGTCTCACAAACATGAGTGTGGATCACTGTGTTCTCTCCGTTATATAAATCTACCCCGTTTTCTGAGTGCAATATTCTTGAAATAGTATAATTTTGGACAGTATCTTTCTTAAACTGCCGCTCTGTAATGGTACTGAATGCAGTCCAGCAGCGATGTTGAACGCCCTAAAATGGCGGCGCCGTTGACGTACCTAAATGACCCAACGCGGCATCTAGGTATGTATGTCTATGAGTCAGACCCTTCTGTAAAGCACATGCAGGGCGGAGATTTACATGCAGGGCGTTGTAAGGAAAAAAATAGTACCCAAAGAAAAGTTTTATTAAATTTAGTTTTACCATGATCAGCGTGACATATAAAAACATACAAGACACATGTAAGCTCACTGGTTGTTTTGACTTGCAGATAAAATGGTGATATTTATAGTGAAGACATAATGATGTCTGGCTCCTAGTACTGCAATGGTGAACAATTTTGACTCTGTAGAACGGTGCATTTCACACCAAACTACTCTGAATAATTTTGTTTAGTCCATATATGGAAACTAATCTGCAAAAAAGCTCACTTTTTAAAATAGGCCATATTTAATAGAGTCTCATATCTGTATCAGGTGATGATAGGTGAGAAGGGTGATATCTAAATGAAGCGCTTGCTAAAGAAAGGGGATGGATCTGGTTATAATTGCAACGAGAGCCATGCAGATTGCTTCCATCTGACAAACCACGGTGTCGCCAAGCAATTAAAATCAGACTGCACGAGAAAAAAGGGACAATAGACTGGAAACACACAATGCCAGAGAGGAGGTTCAGGCTTTTTCGCCTGAAAGAGAATGCAAGACCTCGTGTCAAATTTTGAAGGTGATGACAAAGAAATTGCTGCACTGTTTCTCAGCCAGCGTCCTCGTTTCAGACTCTCAGTTTACCCAAAAAAGAAGATGCTATATTAAACCCTCTGATTGAACTTTGTAAAAGGTTATTATCATCGACATTTCTGAAGCATTGATTACTTTTCTAAAGCCTCTGATTTCTATCAGCGGCATTGTCCGGCCCAGCGGTTGGTGCATAGACAGTGAGGCCTTGCTGAAAGCAGCCCACGACCCGTGTGCTTATACCTGGCAGGGTGTTTGCAAAAATAGTGCCGTAGGCAAAATGAATGTCTGTTGCTTGTCATACTTGGAAATGGTGGTAATTAAGTGTGAAAGCCTAAAATAGTGGAACTGAACTGAAAGAAAACAAACCAAAAATATTTACTTCCATCACCCTGTAAATAAACAATGCATAAACAAGAACGGCCTCTACCAGGCAGCCTTTGGTTTGTAAACCTTTACATGTAACTGGTGCTTAACTTCACATCTTCCAGATTCCAAACAAGCAACCTCCATTATTATGTGCTTAAACCTCTTTCCACTACTACACGTCACACATCAGATGAATCAGATAACATTGATTGTCTCTAATCAGTGATGAAATTCAAGATCTGTTTTATGGTTTATGACGGGTTGGCAACTCAAATGTTAAGAAGAGTCATTTTATATTTTCAACAAAAATCAAACCACCTTGAGAGCCACAACATTTTATGTCCATTTTACCATTTTGGCTGTAAATATGTCTCAGTATGTGCTATGTACTAGTATAGGCTAACAAATTTAATATAAGCGAAAACACAGACCTGTGTTAGTGCTTCATTAAGCTGTAGCTCAGCTATAGCCGCTTTTCTCGCATCTCTGACAGGAAACTTTTCCAAAAGTGGAATAGTTTCTTGTAAAATGTCTCAACGTTCAACTTTTTTACGAGTCAGCTTCTCATTCGCCAGCGTCTTGTTCGAATTTTCCTGTTCCACCTTAAATGGTGCAGCAAATTTGAACAAAAAGCTGGCAAACAGCTGACATCAGATTCATATCACCAAAGCATTAGAAGTGGGCGATAATGAATAATTATCGCATCCCCCCTCTTTGAAGGCATATGATTTCCAAAATGTAACTAAAGCCCAGTAGTTAGATAGCTGAACTTTACCCTCCTCTGCTATTACTGCAGACTGGCAGGGTTGCCTACAGAGCATCACTAGTAGCCTGTTAATGAAGTAATGTTCTTTTTTTTATTTGAGGGTCCCATTTTGTAGGGGAAGATTTCAACCACTACACCTTCTAACTCAGTTTAGAGGGGCAAGGTGGCACTCGAAAGGGGTAGGGGTAAAAAAAAGAAATGGGATTGGAGAGCCTTAGATTAGTGTTCCTAATAAAGTTCTTGTTGAGTCTCCTCATTGTTCCAGTAGAACAAGTAAAGCAGTTCACACTCCTCTGCTGTCCACATGTTTACTTGATGTGGCTATTAGGATAAGAGTAGATCCAATTCTGACTTGTCCCCTGTCACCCCCTTGAGCACTGAGTGTTTTAACTGCTACGCTAACAAAAGAACTCACAATAAGTTTGTACAGTAGTGTCACGCTTCCTGCCACTCGTCAGACGGCGCTAGCTCCCTCGCTCGCATGTTCTGACACGAACTCCATTTCCCAGACTCCTCAGCAAAGTCACATGACTCCGGAGAGATCCTCATCCTCCAATCAGCGCTCAAGTTCGCCTGAATACTAATGCTTTGTCGGTGTTTTAGATAATATTTAAGCCCGGGCTTTAGTTAGAATCTTTGCGAGGTACTGCTTTCTCTACGAAACTACTGAGCGTTTTCTTTCTGATTGTTTTCCTGGTTATGACTTTATTCTTCTCGTTTTCTCTGACTCTGTTTTTGGATTTGCCCTTTTGTACTTCTGCATGGTTATTTGGATTGGTGATTTTGACCCTTTGCTTGTTTTGTGGACTTCGACTTGTTTTGCCCTTGTCTGTTATGGTAGCCATTCTCCTCTTGCTGTGTTTTCTGAAACTGACCCATGCTCGTTATCTGACTACGGTGATCATCCCTGATTCCCCAAGTAAAGCTTCCTTTTTGTTTTTAAACCGCAAGCATCTGCTTTCTGTTCTAACGTTACAGAATACCTCGTCACCTATGCAGATGGCGGATCTGGAAGCTTTCCAAAAGGCATTGACGGAGCAAGGACAACTACTCGGCAGGCATCAGCAGGTTCTGTCCGGGGTAACTCACTCGCTGGAGACGTTAGCTCATCAGCAAGCTGAACAACAGTCCCAGTTGGCGCAGCTCGTCGCTAGTGTCAAAGAACTCAACTCCAGAATCTCAGCGTGACTGGACCTGAAGTAAACATCGCGACTCCGTTGGCTCCCGTGTCTACCAAATTTACTACTTTCCCGGTTAGTAAACCAGATAAGTTTGAGGGTAACCCTGACAAATGTAGAGGCTTTTTGCTCCAGTGTACTTTTTTTGACAATTCCCCTGCTAGTAATGACCAGGCTAAGATATCCTTGATTGTATCAAGGTTAGC